AAACTGTACTACAGGGGGTGAAGATTTAATAATATGGTCAGCTGGACAAAGTTCACCTGAGATTCTATGAGAAAAAGAGTTTAAATAAATCTATATGACACAATCACATATTACTGGAAACTTAGTTAACAACAAGAAATATGAATTCAATAGTTTACAAGAGCAATAAATGCAGCCTGTTCTAAGAGCACTGTAGAGTTTAAGAGTTCATAAGTACACAGATTCATCCAGTTCTGTAGCTGTCACAAAATAAGCTCTGATATAAAACACACTACAGTTCTTCTGTAAGTCTAAAGACATAGTTTAAACCAAAAATCCACAATGGATAGGGAATATCTATTTCTGAAAATCTCAAACATCTTGAGGTTAAGAAAGGGCAACACTCCTAAAGATCAAAAACTACATGCCATGACATGAATATTAGATCTCTCTCCAAATCAGCACTGACCTGGCTTCAGGATGATTCTGACTTCCAGACTTTTGAGCTTTGATTATTTTAATAACTGAACTGCCTCTTGCCCAAAATACCCTCTCCTTCCTTTATTAAGAAGCAAGCCTTTCTTTCCTACCTCAAAGTGCTTCAAATCAGCTTCTAAGGAACTGTTTCTTAACTCAATTTCCATCATGATCCCTCTGTATTATGTGCAGCTGTATATTGTTTATATTATTTTAAATCAGCTATATCATATACATTTTTGCTTACTATTATAAGTTTGATTATCTTTGGCAAAAAGATCTGATTTTCCTTTCTTCTGCATTTCTTGCAAATTATCCTCTATTAGAAAGTGAAATCCATTATGGCAGGAGCTATTTTGCTCACTATCATGTCCTCAAGATCCAACATAGTAGTAACTCAAATATTACTGAACAAATGCATGAAATCTACACACTGGCAATCAAATATTATCACTGACTTACCCCATAAGTTCTGCTAACAAGAGATATTCTATACTAGCTTCTCAAATATGAATATTGAACATTAATGTGTATAAAATATTCAAGGTTTTTCAAAGTCCCTTACAGTTCTATCTTTACAGCAAGCATAACAATACATAAAATTTTTAAAAATCCAATAACAATTATGATTTCAATTTCTAATAATGATTTTCTAAAGTCATTATTGTAAGAGTTTTGTTATCCAACATATGTGAATTTTGAGAAGAGGGAGAAAGGGAGAATAAGGACCTAAGAGTTGCTAGTTAGTCAAATGCCATTAATTGATGGCTTGCAATACAACAGATACATGAATGATATGAGACAAGTAGAAAGTTTTTTCTAAACACAAATGCAAAGTTTCTACTCTAAAGAAGGATGTTAGCAACAGTTTAATTTTATCTAGTCAATTCCAAGTTTTAAAAATGTCTATTGCCTACTTTTAGCTCCCCTATTAACAATGCCAGAAAAATAAACTGCATGCACAGTTAAGCAGAAAAGCAGTCCCAACAAAAAGTTGGCACCAACCAGGTATCTGGAGCCTACAGGTAAGAGAAGAGGAAAATAAGAGCAACACTGGAACATGAGTCACCCCAGAAATGGGTAAAGGTGGCAGATGAAAATTGATAATGCCCATTCAATATGTAAGAGGTTTTTAACAGTTGATGGGAAGAGGAAAGGTAGGAGAAAAAATATGACTCATGATCACTTTGGTGGCAGATTTAATATGTAGTATGGCCCAGACTGACAGAAATGTTGGCTAGATGACAGAAATGAAGATAAATGAAGATAATCAGAACTGTTCTGGCAGAGAAAAAATAGAGGGGAGAAAGAGAGGTTGGAGATTAATCAACTGAACACTTAAAAGGTTACCAAACTAGTGCTGTGAAGAATCTGAGTCCAAAACAGAACAGATATCCACATAGGATGAGGTGTGGGTTAGATCTTCAGAAGATGCTGAGTTCTCCTTTCTTCCCCAATCTTGTTTTTTAAGTGAATGGATTTCTTATTATTGAAATGTATGGATACTTTACGACTAAACTAATTATCTTTGAATGATTTAAGTATACAACCCCCACCTCCTAAATATAAACCACAAATCTCAACCTGGGAATATGGAGAGACTGAAAGGGTATTTGATCCTCGGAAAATCTGTGTGTATAGTGTGTATACAAGAGAGAAAGAGAACATTTGTATTCTTCCATAGTTTTTAGATTCTCAAAGATATCTATGACAAATAGATATTTGACAAAAATCTATGACAAAAATCAGATACATTTCTATACACCTATAATGAACAATCCAAGAAGGAAATTAAAAAAACAATCCCACTTACAGCAACATGAAGAAAAAAAATGCTTAGGAGTAAACAACCAAGGAGGTAAAAGACCCACACAGTGAACACTACAAAACATGGCTGAAAAAAATTAAGGACACAAATAAATGTAAGACACCCTATGATCATGGATGGGAAGGCTTAATATTGTTAAAATGTCCATACTCCCCAAAGCAATCTACAAATTCAATGTAATCCCTATGAAAATCTCAATGATATTTTTTACAGAAGTAGAAAAAAATTCTAAAATTCATATGGATCTCAAGGGACCCTGAATTGACAAAACAAAGTTGGAGACCCCCCTCACACTTCCTGATTTTAAAACATACTATTACAAAGCCACAGTAATCAAAACCATGTGCTAATGGCATAAAAACAGACAAACAGACCAGTAAAAGAGAGTAGAGACCCCAGAAATAAACCCTATGTCCTAATGACCTTTGGCAGACTATCAAACCACACAATGGAGAAACTACAGTCTTCAACAAATGGTGCTAGGAAAACTGGATACCACATGCAAAAGGAATGAATTTGGACCTTTACCTGATATATACAAAAATTAACCTTAATGTATGAAGACCTAAAGAAAAGCTATAAAACTATAAAACTCCTAGAAGAAAACATAGGGGAAAAGCTTTATGACACTGGAGTTGGCAGTTTCTTAGATATGACACCAAAGGCTCAGACAAGAAAAGCAAAAATAAATGAATACAATTATACCAAACTTAGAAACTTCTCCACATTAAACCAAACAATCAACATAGTGAAAAGGCAACCTATGGAATGGGAGAAAATAATTGCAAATCATATTATCTGACAAGGGGTTAATATCCAGAATATATAAAGAACTCCTAAAATTCAATAATAACAAAAAAAAGTTACCCTAAAAAACTGGGCAAAAGACCTGAATAGACATTTCTCCAAGGAGAATACAAATGCCCAAAAAGTATATGAAAAGATGCTCAATATCACTAACCATTAGAGAAATGCAAATCAAAACTACAATGAACTATCATCTCACGCCCATTGGGATAACCACTATCAAAAAAAATAGAAAGTATGGGTGAAATGGGTGGAGGTGGCTAAAAGGTACCAACTTCCATTTATGAAATAAGTAAGTCCTGGGGATGTAAGGTACAGCATGGTGACTATAGGTAATAATACTGTATTGTATATATGAACATTGCTAAGACAGTAAATCTTAAAAGTTCTCATCACAGAAAAAAAAATTTGCCATGTGTGGTAATGGGTATCAACTAGATTTTCTGTGATCATTTTTCAATATATATAAATAGCAAATGATCACACTGTACACCTGAAATTAATATAATGTTACATTCAACTATATCTCAATAAAAAAATAATAAAAAAATAGAAAATAGCAAGTGTTGCTGACTATGGAAATTGAACCCTTGTACTCTGCTGATGGGAATATAATATGGTGCAACAGCTATGGAAACTGTGGAAATTCCTCAAAAAACTAAAAATAGAATTGCCATGTAAACCAGCAATCCCACTTCTAAGGATATATCCAGAAGAACTAAAAACAGGATCTCATGGAGATATTTGCACACCTTTATTCACTGCAGCATTATTCCCAATAGCAGAGGTGGAAGCAGCCCAAATATCCATGGACAGATAAATGCATTAAAATAATGTGGTGTGTGTTTATGGTATGTCTGTGTACGTAATGGAATATTTAGCCATGAGAAAGAAGGAAATCCTGGCACATGCTACAAGATGGATGAATATTAAGGACATTATGCTGAGTGAAATAAGCCAGTCACAAAGGGACAAATACTGTATAGTTCCACCTGTAAGAAATATCTAGAGTAGTTCAAAATCATGGAAACAGACAATATAATGGTGGTTGCCAGGTGGTGGGGAAGAGACAGATGCAGAGCTGTTGTTTCATGGGTACTGAGTTTCAGTTTTACAAGATGAGAAAGTTCTAGAGATCTGTTATGCAACAACATGAATAAAGTTAATACTATTCAACGGTATATTTAAAAATGGCTATGAGAGTAAATCTTATTTTTTTATCACAATTCAGAAAAAACAAGACATCTATGACCAAAACAAAGAATCATCCTCTACAACATATAAGCAGTTATACATAAAAATTCATGAATTCTTGATTTCAATAAATCAAACATTAATAGACTAAAATTATTCATCTTTAAACAGTTGTATGATCTCACCTGTAACTCTTGTGACTTACGAGCTTGTTCCAGCTTGATACTATTAGTCATACTTTCTTTCACCTCATCCAATATAGAGTATAAACTATCAAATTCTTCATCTAACTCTGAAAGTATGTTAGAAGAATTTTCCTGTTTAATAAACAAAACAGTGATTTTACTGAGGAGCTGTCAAACATTAAAAAAGTTTAAGATGTATTTGCTAGAGAATAGATTCACATTATAAACTATCTCAGCACATTATAAAAATAACAAAGTGATAATATTTGACATAAGGCTTTAAAAACAGAAAAATCCAAAAAAGCTGGCTGCTAATGCTGACAGTATTATTTCAGCTAAGCTATGAGTTAAGCAGCCTTTTATGGGCTAGTTCATGCTCTTTCCATCTTTTATAATACTGTTTCTACAAGACAATGTGAAAGGGTGTTTTAAGGTTACCAACTTTGTCCAGACCTTCAGGCTCTAAGCAGACCCTAAGCTAGTGGTTCTCAATCTTTGGTGTGCTCCAGAATCACTGATAAAGCATTTTAATAAAATATTCCAGAGATTTTGATTCTGCAACTCTGAGGAACACTTTGGGCATACAGGAGTGGAGATGATTTTTTGTAAATTTGCAAATCTCTCAGTTTGTCTAAAACAATACATTTACATAAAATATACAGAACTTAAAAGATTAAACAATTCCTTACTGGGTCCTAAGTGATTTATCAACATCTGAATTTTAGTGCTAGAAGGAACCTCAGAAATCATCTACTAACTAGAATTTGTAGTCTACTCCTAAATTTTTTAAGTAAAACATGGGTAGGTGACTTGCTCAAAACCACACAGGTAGTTATTAGTGGCAGAATCAATATAGCATTTCAAGTTTGTTGACTTCCTGGAGTTCCTCATTGCCTCATTAAGCCAGATGCTGCTATTTCAACAAGGAAACTGTGAAAATGCGTTCTGTGAAATCCCTAGATAAGCAATATCCACACTTGCAACAATTATGAGATGGAAGAAATGAAAGCATTTTTCAACTTAGGTGAATTATTCAATTGAGAAGCATATTAGCACTGGTTCAGAGAATATGTACAACGGTGTGGGTGGGTGTTTCAGGGAAGACAGTGTAGCACAGCGAAGACAAGTAGTGACTCTGTGGCATCTTACTACACTGATGTACAGTGACTTTAGTGGGATATGGGGGGACTTGATAATATGGGTGAACGTACTAACCAGAATGTTTTTCACGTGAAACCTTAAGAGTGTATATCAATGATACCGTAATAAAAATAAATTTAAAAATTAAATAAATTAAAATTAAAACTAAAAAAGAGAAAATGTACAATTGTTACAGTGATAAGAACAAGCTGTGGAAGAAGAAATACGCAATCTGGAAGGCAGAAAACCTAACCCAAATCCCTCTTTAACCACTTAGTAACAGAGTGGCTTTGGATAAGCCACTTAAATTTCTGGACCTCAGTTTATTCACCAGTAAAAAGGAATGGGACTACTATTTTTCCCTCATTAACCAATTAGCACATTCTTACAATCTCTTACCCACTACTCCTCTTGCCCCCATCTACAATGACAGGGGTATAACCTTTAATTCCCCATTTTCTGGATTCTAAGGTGGAGTTCTAAGAATTTGTCAATAAGAAAAATAATTTGAGCTAGCTCTCTATTAAGGTTTATTCTTCCACATGTCCAATATGAAGTGTCTCTTGTCCACAAATCAAGAGTTTTAGAATCACTAGCCCCATCTTTTAACAAAGTAGATCTGTGGATTCACCAAATTTTCCAATACAATTGTTTGAGAAACACAAAGTGGTAAAGTTCATCATCAACTAACTTGAACCACAGCAAATTCAGAAGAAAAATACAAAGACCAAAAGGTTAAACAGGCCAAGAACCAGGCAACTACCTAGGTTAAAACAAACAAACAACCACAGGAAAGGATTTCCCTGTCTATAAGTATACCACAAATCTTCTATGTTTATTTCACAAATGATCCTTAAATTCATTAACACACCCTTACATTCATGAGAAAGCATCACCAGATTATCTTAAGGTCTCTTCAATATTCAACATTTGATTATTTACAGTATGGATTATCTGCCCAAACCTGGGACCATTTCCTTAACTATTTCTCGCTCTCCATTACTTTTTATGTTTTACTTTGACCTAGTACTGCAAGTAGACCTCTTACCATCTACTTTTTCCTTCCACGATTTACTGCAAAGGAAATGTTTGGCTTCCCAGTACTTTTGAAACGATACAATTTGCTCTTAATTGAAATTAGAAAAGAAACAAAATGGGAAGGGACAAAAAGTGAGCACTATATTTCCCAGTAACTACTATTTCAGAGTTTTGTTTTTCTCTTATTTGATCTGTCCATGGAGGATTCAAGAATAGAAAGGAAAATATTTATTTGCATTTAAAAACCCTGCTCTCACCTCCATTAGTTTATAATCTAGAGTTGATGAATAATGTGTATACTCCTGATTTGATCCAACAATCATTTGTTGTGATAAATTTGCACAAACTTTTTAAGAAAAGATTCATACCTGAACTCCTTTTAGTGTTTGATTTAGTGTATCAATAAAGTTCTGAATTTCATCATTTTTATTCGCCAGAGTTGAAATGATCCTTTGTAGAGCTTCCTAGGATTAAAAAAAATTAAACATGATATTTTAACAATAGAGAACTGTAAGCTTCATAACAAGAGTTCTCTAAACAAATCCAATATTATATAATAAATAGCAACAATGTAAAGCTTCTCATTGTTCAAAATTTCCAAAGGCCTATAATTACAAAAGACGGGATATGTATTTGTACTGTTTTAAACCTCCTATTGCTAGTATACAACTTATTCACCATCACACCATTCACAATGAAGATGAATAAAAACAGAGACACCGAAACCTGACACTTATTTGTAAAAATAAAAAAACATTTCAGAAACATGAAAGTGGGTAATTAATTTGCAGCTAAAAATATAATATTCATTGCAATATTTACAGATGCTACAGAACCTAATAAGTAATTTTAGTAGCAAATACCTCATACTTTTTGATATTGCTTCCTATTTAAATAAACATTTGGTTATTTAATTTTCTCATACTCTCTTGTTCAGTGCTATCCCATAAAATTTTCTGCTTTAATGGAAATGTTCTATATACATGCTGTCCAATAGGGTGATTACTACCACTAACCACACAAACCTAATGAACTCTTGCAATGTGGACAGAGCAACTGAGGAACTAAATATATTTTGTTTAATTTCAATTAACTTCACTTTTTATAGCCAAATGTAGCAAGTGATGTCATATTGGGCAGTATAGATCTGGATGTTTAAGAACTCTTCATGGGTAGTAATAGCAAAATCCAAAGAAGACACTTGTGTTCTCAGTAAAAATCAAATACAAGTACTTTTACTTTGTAATCGTCCTCCAAGCACAAGTCTTGTTTCTGTAAGTACATATAAGCATAAATATTTTAATAATTTCCTCTAATATTTTTTAAATTAAAGTATCATTGATACACAATCTTATGTTGGCTTTGAACATACAGCACAGTAGTTCAATAGTTACCCATATTATTAAATCTTCACACCCTCTAGTGCCATCACTGTCTATCAATGTAGTAAGGTACTAAAAAATCATTGACTGTATTCTCTGTGCTCTACTACAATCCCTGTGACCAACCTATATTGTGACTACAAATTCTTGTGCCCCTTAATAACCTTCCCCCTACCCTCCCCAACACCTTGCCCTTGGTAAACATTGGTTCCTTCTCAGTGTCTCTGAGTCTATTGCCATTTTGTTGCTATAAGATTTTGTATGATAAAGGATCTTCTCAAAATATAATCACATATTGATAAAAGACTATACATAAAGAGTTCCTGAAATATTCTGATAGAGGGAAAATATTCCATATAAATATTCATAAAGAACTACAGTAGTGAAAAATAAAAAATAATCACAAAAGTTCCCCACTTAATCCTCACAACAATCCCCAGAGAAAAGTAGGCATAATTATAATCATCCCTGGGGCTGCCTAGGGCTCTCCATTATATTCACTTACCTATACTATCTTTTCCCACCATCACCGCTGGTGGTATTTTAGTATAATAATACAATGAAGTTATGCTATGAAAGAGACCAACACCAAGAGTTAGCTGTTTATCCTAACAGTGTTCCTCCCAGAAACAAGTGACCAGGATTTGAATAGAAGGACAACTAGAAGAATGGCAGAATAGAGCCAGGACTTGTGGGGAAGGATGGGCACAGCTGCAGGGGGCAAGAGTAGCAGTACAGAGAAGTAAAAAACGAGGGCAGAAGACTTAAGAGTTTTCCAAGTATTCATCCAGGGTAAGATCTACACATATTTAAAAACAACACAATGGAACAGTAAAAACAGTTCTGCACAATCCTCAGCCTGTGTACAGTAAGCAAGCTTCAACTATGATTGGGCTTTTTCTGGTTAACGGACTAGATCTGCCTCCCTTCCATCCCTCCTAATGGCAGGGTTATATCCTTACTGCACAGATGAGAAAATGGAGATTCAATCAGTTGCCCAAAGTGACACTGCTAGTAAAGATTATGCTCAGTCTGTCTCCAAAGCCCATGCTCCTTACTACCTTAGAATACTGTATCTAAAACTAACCTGTTTGCCCATGATGTAAAGTACCCACACCATAAATTACATATTCTCTTATAAATCTGATTTGCTAAGACACTTCAAAGACATAAAAACTGCTGGAATTTCTATGGTAGAGAATCACAGCTTGAGCTCTGTCCCCTGCTGGGCATATCTAGTGAACTTCAAGGCAAAGGTGACAATCTTCTATCAGAACAAGGATTGGAGAGTCCTCTGGAGGCAGTTTTATCCCATGAAAAAGAGAAGCCAGGCCCGGTGAATTTGACCCAATAACAAAATTTCAGTCACCAGGATATTCGTGAGTTAAATAAAAACTGAAGGAAATTGCACACACAAAAAAACCCTCTGATATTTTAAAATAGGCAGATCTACTTCACAGAAAAAAAATCTCCCTAGCACAAAACAGCTTTCCACTTTTACCTATTTTTTGTCTAAGTTTAGTGGCAAATGGTGTATTTGAAGAATTTTGCAGCAAAAACTCTGAAGATAGCTGAAGTATACTGGCCCAGCTAGGAAAGCTCTAAACTCCAAAGATTTTAATGAGAAACCTCTCTGCCTTCTTGAAGTGCCTGCTATTTACTGAGTGTAGTCAAAGACATCTAAATGATCTTTTATTAGGTCTTCCAGCTATATCCTTTATACCTTTAAGAGTTATCCACCTACTAGAGTTACCCTAATAGAAAGTTAATAGGCTCTGTTTCAAAAGTGGAGTTAGAGGGCAGAATACAGTCTTTACCAACCGCAACATTCTCATTCTCCTTAAAGCAGGACCACTTAATAGAAACACAGTGAAAGCTAATAGTAGCCACATCAGAAAAGGAAAACTGGAGCAGATGAAATTAATTTTAATATTTTACTTAGCCCAATTGATCCAAAATATTATTCTGACACATAATCAATATTTAATAATTACCGAGTTCCTTCCTGCCTTTTATTTTTGGTTCTAAGTCTTTAAAATCCAATGCGTATTTTACACTTATAGCACATATTACTTCAAATTAACTCATTTCCAGGGCTGAATAACCACATATGATTAGAAGCTATCAATACTGGAGAACACAGCCTTTACAGGCCAATACCAACCAAATAGTCCATATATTTCTAAGAGTAGAGATAGGGCAAAGACCCTATATTTACCTCCTTAATTTGCAATTAATAATAAACAACCTAAAAGCTTTTTGAACTTTTTTCTAGGGATAACAAAATTCCCATATTTGCCTATGTTATGCCAGCTTAATGAACTATAATAGCTGTATGTGGCTATAAGATAAAACATTACAACCAAGTTCCTTAGCAAAGTTTCACTAATTTCTCAGTTTTTATGTAAATATTACCTCTAGAAATGGAAAGGTATTATATAATATCACCAAGTTTCAAAAAAAAATTGGTGCATAAGCAGCACTCTTTTGGGATCCCTCCAATATCATAACAACAGGAGCAATATACTCTCCTATCCTGTTAAGCTTATGCTGCTCATTGTTTTTGGTTAGAAAAGACTTTCTGGGGATGACAAAGAGAACAAATGTCCATGAAAAGGTTGGCTTCTGATAAAACAGGACTGTACCTGAGGACAGATGACATGTAAGCTATGCAAACTCAAAGAATCATAAGGATAATATTGTCTATTGTGCATGGGTTCTGTTCATACCTCCAAAATATAGTATACCCTTAGATTATAGTTACTTTTATCTTTAATGTTCCCCTTTTAATTCATTCAAAATTCTGCTATTACCAGAGAATGAAAAGTGAATTTTCAATTTATATTGGTCCAAGAAATACTATTAGCAATACTTCTAGAAAAATCCTACGATCTGTGTGTTAAAGCTTTTGGGGGAATGGTATTGTATATGAATTATCTCAGGCTTTAAAAATACTCTACTACCCCATAAATACTATAATCCTTAGTGGGTTAGGAAAGAAAGATCTTTAAAGGCTGATATAGTAGGTTTGGGAAACAACATCTCTTTTTTTGAAGAGAATGCTTTATGGATTACATTTTGAATTTAACTCGGAGGTCTAGTAGACAGTCTATCTAGCATGACGGTCTATCACAGAACACCTAGATAAAGCCCACATCCTGAGAAAGGCAGCTTTATCTTACTGCCAAAGTAACAAAGACTGAAGGCTGAGAATTCAGGGTACTACTTGAGTCTCTAGGTGGGGAAAGTCTGCAAGCCTCTGTGTAATATACATCACTGAGATGCTATAAGAATGGACAAGCCAGCTGTAAAGGGAACCTTACTATTTAAGGTCACCTATATTTTCACAGCTATGAAATACAGTAGAAAATGTGGCTGCAGAAGAAGCAACCATCCAGATGAGTAAGAGCCGGAACTCAAAGCAATCAATGTGACCTTGGTAGCTAATGCAGATGAAGTGTTGCCTTGGCCCTAAGCTTAGAAGAAAAAAGGGCAGTATCCTTACAGCTCCCCAAGGGCAGGCTGCTGATACATGCATGGGCTCCAGAAGCTCTGAAGCCACTTGTCCTTTATATCTGTTATTGTAGAAAGGGTGAGCAAATGCAAAAAAAAATGTAATCAAGAGTTTCTTTCATTTAGTATTCTCCAATAGAGGAAGTTCATGGTGGGGGGAGGAGCTGAAAAATTATGAAAGGGACCAGAGCTTCTACCATTTTGTCCCTCATAAGCACAGGGACTGGCTAGACCTAGGGTGGAAGTGACATGAAGATAGAAAGAAATAAGGAATTTGGAGCCCAGCAAAGCTGGGAAACAAATTACAAGTAACCAGAATATTTAAGACAATCCACCACCAGTACCAAAACTTGTAAAAAATAAATGTTAGGATTACACTTAACCCTAGCTAGTATATATGACATGAGGCTAAAATTTTCTCTAGGTGGTAGGATTCAGACAAGAGGTATATAGACGGATAGTGTGCCTAATATAGGATGTATGCAAAGAGACGCTGGTTGAACAGGTACCAAATTCAGCAGAATTTTTTTTAAAAGTGTTTCTAATTATGGCAGGTAATAAGTCAGGGC